TTTTTTTTTTTTTTTTTTTTTTTTTTAATTTACGATGCCTAGAAGATGAACTTTTGATCGACGTTAATGGTACACTAACAGTATTGTTGGAAACATAGAACTTGTATAAAGTTTATTTGTGATTTAAAGTTTTTATTCGAAGTTTTTTAATGAATTCTGTTCAATAATATTTATTTTTTTTGTTAAACAATCAGAGTGGAATTTTTGAGGAATAATGAACGGAATAATAACATTAGCATGCGCGCCTCGATATGCAAAAGTATCTATTTTACAAGTTAAATCATATTATTTCGAGATATATTTTTCCATTAATTTAAGAAACTTTTGATAAGCAGTATACACATCAATCTTATCGATAAATCAATAACTTTGAGAGGAAAAGTATGTTGCATATAAAGTATACTTATCCAACTTTATTATTTCATTAAACCTAATTTCCATCGGGTAAAAGCATTTTAATGGAACTCTTGATATTTCTATATAAATTTATTACACTTTTAATACAATATATATATATATATATATATATATATATGCTTTTAGCAACAGTATTTCGTTATTTTTTTTATCTATAGTTATATAATTTATTATTAGATTTTTAATTTTTACAAACTTTCTTCATTCTGAAAAGTATTCAGCAATAAAAATATACTTTTTTTGCACCATCTTGCTTCATATTTCAAAATATATAATATTACAAGATATCCACTTGAGCAAGTACTTACACGGATCGTTTACATTTATCATAGATAATCATTAGTTGTATAGATAAAATCACGTTACCGTGTTATCTCATCTCAAAAATATGAAAACACGTTAATTCACGCATATACGATCCTCGTAATATCAGATATCGCGGCATCGTGATCATCAGAGCGCCACCCCATCACGGCATAGACATCGTAAAATATATCTCGTGCTCGAGTGCGAACATGACATGGGGTGCGGGGTATTCCCAAGGGAACGATTTCTTTTTTTAATCCCAGCTTTTCATCGTGTCGCCAGTTTATCTGACCCAGTGAACGAGGAAAATATTAGCCTGATACGAAATTATTCCTCTTGGATGGATTGATTTTCGAAATTGTGAATCGATATGAAAAGAAAAATTGTCAGTTATTTCATTAAAAAAAAAAAAATCATTATATATTAACGTTTAATATTATAATGTAATTATCAATAGTATGTCTTTCTTCACTAAATTATGCTATAATAACTATAATAACAAGTATTGGATTGTCATTGTACAAAACATTTTTGCTTTTTGGATACAAAACAGATGTTCTTCTCTGTACACACAAGAGTTTTATTGATCAAAGTATATTATACATACGCCAAGAAAGTTACATTAGCCAAGAAATTCTTGCCAAGAGGTTATAAAGGTTTTAAATCTCGCGCATACGGAATTCTGGATTCCCAAGAATTTTAATAAAGAGTTTTCTATTGAATAAAGATCTATTTCTTTTTTTTATAGAAAAAAATCTAAGCAACAGACTATATTATAATAGATAGATAGAAAGAGGATCCAAGAAATACGGACAGCAATATTATTATAGTGATTTAATTCTTGGAATAAATTCAAATTTAAGATGTATTAACGTACATTCATTATATAAAAGCTTCTTAAATTGAATCAACAAGTCTTCATTTGTCATCGATTTGATATCATCACATAACCTCAAAAATATATAATATTCATATGAATCAATTCGAATGTAATCGATTGGATCTTCGGGTAACGAATCAGAAAAAATTATTATTAAAAACAACGATGCGATATGTAGTCAACTAGTCGCCTATAATCCTCGTTGGAACAACATTTATCCGTGAGCAAACCGTCCACCGCGCGATATTTGATCGCATCTCACGCGCGTGGTTCGCAGAAACGCGTTCCAAGACCAAGCAAATATTGTCACGTACGCGTAACGATCCTCGTTCCCGAGGATAAGTCCTCGTTCGTGGAACAACAATGAATTCTCGCAGCTGTAACCACTATAACCCATCTCTCTCGTGAATCAGTTCGCCGCACCGACGATGAGAAAATAATCGAACCGCCCGCCAAACCCGAGGACGCTTTTTT